GGCTGAAACTAATAAATTTTAAAACGCTGATATTCCATGGATTGCTTGGCTCGATAATTATTGCACCGCGCCGCCGAGAGAGATCATCAATTATATCGACTCGCCCCAATGTACGGCGTATAAAGCACGGCCTAAGAATTTCCCATTAATGATGTACTTAACTTTTTTTCGCAACAATTTCCATGATCAATAAAGTCATACAATGAGTACAGGAACGAATATTACAAGGAAGGAGAGAAAGAGAGAGAGAGAGTGAGATGGAGAGAGCGACAACATCCATTACTACACTTTTGACAGAAATAACACGAGCATCGTTGAGTCGAGCTAGCGGGACAATAAGTCGTCGACGACGACGTACAAACTCGCTGAAAATAGTTTTCAACACTTCTGCGGCTGAGAAATTCATTTAAATAGTTTCGAGATGACGATTAACCAACGTCCGACTCGGCTCATTTGTATCGTGTATACACTAATTTACCTTTCGAACTCTCTCTCGTACTAGTAAAAACGAAAAATATAATCACGCGCTGAAAATACAATAATCAAGAACCGTTGCTGCTTATGCGGCGTACGCGTATATGCCGATGTTCTCTCGCAAAAAAGTATAAAGCGAAAAGAAACGAAACGAGTCGGTGATACGTGAAGTACTTTAAAATTGCTCGTTGCGTGCAAAGCCCATAGATTCGCACACCTGCCCCCTACTACCCCTTCCCGCGCACATATATACGCACGGGGCTTACGTAGCTCGAGCGAAAAGAGTAAAGAACGAAATGCAGCAGCGATCCGTGTACACTCACGAAGTTACTTTTCCGGAAACAATGTTGTGACAAGGATCATCGAGATCGCCGCCTCCCCTCCTTCGGGGGTCAGACTCGAGCTCATTGTAAGCTGCAACGGCCCCACGTGTGCACGCGCAATTTCGCACGGGGGACAGCACTCGCTCGATATACGCGTTGCGAATCATAATAAAAAATCAAAGCTCGCTCGCGTATATACACAAGTTAAAGCTCAAAAGTTGGCCTGATCGCGGGATTTTCTCGACGATCGAAATTTCTTATTCAACGTGTTCCGGCGTTCAATGATCCGGGGGTAAACGCCGCCGCCACCGCCGCGACAGTACGTGTGCGCGTGGGTGGCATTCCTCGGCGTTTCTCCTTTTTTCTTTCCTCTACAACGAGACGCTTTATCTTTCGCTGGGCTCGCTGGACTCGCTCGCTCTCGCATGCAGCATGAAACAGTGCAATGTAGCCTCGGGCTATAGGTAAATGAGAGAAGAAGAGCACAGCGCGTTTTATGTAAAGCAGACCTAAGCGAGACCGATGAGAAGCTGAGCTTTGTTCCTTTTTTTTTGCTTCCTCCAACTCCTTCTCTCGCTCTCTCTCGGCTTTGGAATAAATTTGTTTTATGCAAAAATCGAGGATTCGCAAAGTCCGAAGAAGATGCAAGCGTAATATGCTAATAATATGCGCTCGAGAAATTGATTATTTCTCTGATGCGAATAATAAACCTTAAAAATGACGCAAATTTGTAATTTGAATCGCCGCGAGAGAAATTGAGTCTCTTGCATCTGATCATAAATAATTACAAGCTCTCACGCACGAGTGGCCCGTGAATTTCCTTGAATTTGTCGAAAAGAGCGCAAAAAGACATCGATAAAAACGCGCTAAATCAAAGCTCGCGTGTGTGCTGCGCTTCGAAGCGCATTATTCTCTTTTTCGTGCGCAGATCCCAATAAAAGTGAATCGAAAAAACAAGGACAAGCAGAGGTAAAAATGCACGAGCATTAATTTCGCAGTTTTTCGGGTACACAAAAAAAACTGGCGGCGGCGCCGTGAGTTTCGCTGCTTCCAGGGAAAAATCGCGTAGTCACAATGCGCTTTGCACGGGTATAAATACGCCCTTTCAAAGCCCTCCTACCATTTCAGCATGTCCTCTTTCTGCGCTTCGAGTTATTCGCTTTTTATATTATACGCGCGTGCATATATCGGGTATTCTCTTTTTTTCCCATTCTCAAACATATTTCTGTGATCTATGGCAGTCTTGCGGCTCTTTTCAAATTACCCGCGTATATAAACTCATCTTTTGCATTTTTCGCTTGTGATTCGTCGATTTATTTTTCATCTTCTTATTATTGTTGTTTTTTTTTTTTTAATGCACAAAAATTGATTTTTTTATCAATAATTCGCCGCACGTACTCGAAAATACATAAAAACTCGTTTCCGAACGCATTATGCGTGCAAATATCCATATCCTTTCTTTCGGCAAATTTCTCGGAAAGGCAACTTTTAGATCGAGAAGAGAGCCCGCAGTGAGTTTATTATATTATATACATGTACGTGAATTATAATGCGAGTATATTTTGCAAAATAATCCTCGTATATGGAAGCTGATGAGGCTTGCAAGGAGGGCAAAGAAAGAGGGAGAAGAAAAAAAAGGTAGCGAGGAGAGAGACCAAAACAAAAGGCAGGACATGCAGCAGAGCTCGGCGTTCGGCATGAATAAATCGCGAGGTTCTTAATAAAGATTTGCGAGAAAGGTGTGTGCGGTGCGCAATAAATTTCTGATTTTCCTCAGATTTATCGTAAAAACTGCTTACTCACAAGCAACATTGGGTTTAGTTCGAGGCTCATAATTTAGCCGAAAGTGTCAGTACAGCGGAGGCAAATCATATTACTAGTATCGATAATAATCACTGCGCTCTCAATATTCAAAAAACTATATGAGCGGAGATAAAATCACTTGGAATAATTATTGCAGTCTTGCTGGAACTGCAGCCTAGAATGTGCGTCACTTGAGTGAAAAATATGAGATCTCGAAAAAATAAAAAGTAAAATCGCTCGCATTTCTCAAGCTGCAACGCGTGCGCAGGCCGTTGTAAAATACATTATAACAGTCCAATAGTGTAATGTTCCAAGTGAAAGAAATCGCCAGGCAAGGGAATGTAGGTCGTTGCCGCTGACTGCTCTCTTATTATTATTATCATTATTATTATTATTATTATGAATCGAGCGAATCAAGCGCATTGTTGAAATAATTTATAATCCGTATTGGCATTATCGCGCTTGCCTACATATACATATTTTACTCTTTTTTTCACCTATTGTATTCAGATTCGAGCACAACTACACGATTAATTGAAGTCGAATTCCAGTAATTAGCATTTAATTCTTGCAGGCAGACACTCGCGTGCGCCGAGCGCCGAAGAAATTCGATAAAGTCGAGAAAAAAATCGCGTGCGCGCGCGCGCGCCCCTAGCTAGCAAAGAACTCGTTTTTCTGCCTCTCTCGTCATACGCTCGGGCGAACATTGGAAAACCGTCAACATGGCATAATACACGAGTCATCGAGATGCAAAATTACTTAACGCTCGATCGATTCTCCGCGAGGGACACGAGACGCACAGAGAGAGAAACGCGCACTTAATACGCGTACATATCGTCATTAAATCAACGAGTCCATCGCTTCGAATCAGCATCCGCGAGTAGGCGACTCGCGATTTTCTGAAAATTTTCAAAGAAGAATCGACTGGCGCGTAGCTACACGCGTACCTACGTGCATCGGTATCTCACACAACCGATCTCCGTACGCTCTCCAAGCGATAGTTTATTAGTACACCGTACGGACGTTTAACAAACTCGCAAAAGCCGCTTGTGTACGCAGTAAGAGCGCAGGAGGTATTTACGATGATCCGCTGCACATGCTGCAGCCGCATATACATACTATACACGCGCTCGCAGGCCCGATTACGAACTTTTGTTTTCGTTTGTTTGTTGCCGCGACGACGCAGCATCGCGGCAATGCGGAGCAGCGCAACTTTTCCGCTCTCCTTTTATGAATATGTAATGGAATATCTTAAATCGGCTTTATGCTTTCTGCCAATGATTCATTCCTCTCGTATATATTCGGATTTTTGCGGAAACGCTGCTCTCCGCTTGTGCATGGGAGAATCGCGTCTGCCCGTGGATGCTAGTTGTGTTAAAAAATAAAAAAAAAAAAAACATCGCCAAAACCTCTCTGAAAGCGTAATAATGAATTCCTAAAGGTCTGCCTCCGAGCTGCCCCGACGCGCATTGTAAAACCGCGAACTCTTTTCTGCGCGCTGTGCTCTTCTCTACTCGCAAATTTATAGCTCGAAATATTTCTGAGGCGGATTGAATCGCTAAACTTTTTTTCGAGACTGCGCGCGAGCGTATACATGCGCCTCCTCTGTAATTAGCAGTTTCGGGGTGCACCAGCCGTTTGAGTGACATTTCGCTTCTTGCTGCATTATAGGACGCTAAATTTTCTGAGCTATTCGTCAAAGAAATATTATAAAGCCTATTAGCTGCCGCTGCTCCTTTTTTTTTATTTCCTCGGCTTCATTCTCATTCTTATACATCCTCGGCTCGTTCGCTGTCTGCTGCTGCTCTATTTCTTTGATGCATGCATCGCAGAAGTGTTTCTTAGAAATATTAGAATTTATTGTATATTTAAAATCTTTTGAATTCCTGGCATGTAGAAGTAACTGCAGAAGAAGCCGAGGTAGTAGCAGTGACTCGTACAATTATAATAAATAATTCAGAAGGGCAATAGCTCTTTCGGGACGGAGATTTTCGGACAAATTAAAAACCTCGTGCGGCTCGAGTTGCTCGCGGAAAGAAATAAAGCACGCGACTGTCAAGCCTCGGTGAGTACGAGGAGGCGCGCGCGCGTATGCAAAATTACGATGACAATCCAATATTCTTGCAAGGCTTGCGCGCATTCGTCGAAAATGAAATTCGTCGCCGCGCGCACAGCACCGATACACGAGGAATTCTTCGTTTCCGCTGGCTGCAACTTATGCAAGACGCGCACATCGGGCCCCCAAGCGCATCGTTAATACACGAGCGAAAGAGGAAAAAAATGTCCAAATTGACCAAGCTCGAGCCGCGAGGTCAACGCACCACTAGTATCATAAGCTATCGTACTTGCAGTCCAAAACTCGTGTTTTCATCGTCCCGTCGTTTCTGTCGACTGTTTCAGCTCTGCTGCGTCAAAGTATGTCACCGGTGGCGGGCGACACCCTCCTGACGAACCCACCGCCCGGCGCCAAGAGCGGAGCCAACTCGCCGATGATCGACTACTCGCGCTACGTGCGGCGCTACACCAGCGGCCAGGAGTGCGGCAGCGCCTACTGCAAGGAGCTGGCCTGTCGCGAGCACTTCCACTGCCTCGACTGCGCCGGCCGCGTCTTCATCAAGAAGGAAGAGATGATCCGGCACTTCAAGTGGCACAAGAAGCGCGACGAGTCCCTCCAGCACGGCTTCATGCGCTACTCGCCGACGGACGACTGCGCCGAGCGACACCCGACCCGCCAGTGCCCCCACAATCGCAAGCAGACCCACTACCACTGCATCCACGAGAACTGCGACAAGGTCTACATATCGACGTCCGACGTGCAGATGCACGCCAATTACCATCGCAAGGACTCGGCCATCATCCAGGAGGGCTTCCAGCGATTCAGAGCCACCGAGAGCTGCGCCACGGATTACTGCCCGTTCGTGGGTCAACGAACGACGCATTTCCACTGCCGCAGGCCCAACTGCCGCTACACTTTCAAAAACAAAGCCGATATGGGTAAGTATTGTCATTACTACTGCTATAACTTTTAAGCCTCGCATTTCTCAAGTCACTAATCAATGATAAAACTAAACCATTCTTTTCTTTTTACAGATAAACACAAATCTTACCACATCAAAGACGAGCAGCTGACTCGCGACGGCTTCAAGAAGTTCATGAAGACCGAGGCCTGCCCGTTCGACCAGTGCCGCTTCTCGCGCGTCTGCAATCACATCCACTGCATCAGGCCCCAATGCACCTACGTGCTGCATTCCTCCGGTCAGCTGTTCTCGCACAAGCGCAAACACGAGCGCAGCGACTTTGATCTCATGCAGCGCAAGAAGCAGCAGCAGCAGCTCGGCGCCGCGGGTGCGGGAGCTTTCGCCGGAGCGGCGAGGACCTCCTGGCCGGACGACCTGGTTGCCGGCCAGCAGGCGCTCTCGCTCAGCTTGAACGGCGAGAGCTCGAACGAGGAGAGGGTCGGCTCGCCTTACTTCTCCATGGACGATTCGTTCCAGAGCGCCGACTTGGCTATGGATCTCACGGCTTCGGGAGTGTCCGTTTCGAGGACGAGCCCGGCTTTGGATTGTCCGCAATTAACTCCTACTGAACTAGGTAAGAGTAGGCACGACGAAAATTGCGCTGTGAACTCGCGTTCGAGAGAATCTAATCCTTACTTTTGTCCTGTAGCTTATTTGATGACGGCCACGACAGATTGCAGCTGCGGCCTCGTTGGAAATCACTACCATTGCGCTTTGGACAATTGCGACGCGTCGTTGCGCGATCCCCGCGAGGTGCGCGAACATCTGTGCGAGCACGAGGCCCAGGAACGCGTGACCGACGCCTTCTTCGAGGAAGGTGGCTGCGACGAGTCCACCTGCGCCTACGCCGACAAAGAGAAACACTACCACTGCAACTGGGACAACTGTCGCGAGGTCATACTCGCCACCGACAATCCCTTCCGCAGATTGGATCACTACAAGATTCACGAGTACACGCAGCAGGCCAAGTTGCCGCTGTCGCACCCGCTATCCACGGATTTAACCCTGACGCATTTAACGAATCTGGACGCCATGTTCAGGCGGAAACGCGGCAGACCACCGAAGAATCGAGTCATCGAGATCTGGAATTCTGGCGAATCGTCGTCCCAGGACTCGCCGCAGGCTATATTCACGAGCTTCAAATTGCCGAAAGCGACCCCGTCGACCACACCCGCACCGACCACCTCGACAACTGTGACGGTCTCCAACAACGAGCGGGAAGGTAGTGCCTCGCCCAGCAACGAAGATCACGTTGGCTTTGTCACTTACAATCAAGACTCGTGTCCTCACGCGTCCTGCGGTCTTCGGCACACGCGGCATCATCACTGCTCGCAGCCTCGCTGTCATTATTGCACCGACCGACCCGAGCAGCTGCTGATGCACAGCAAGGACTTTCACGACAACGTCGAGATCCCTCCGGGTTTCGCCTTTTTTGATCGTATGATCGACTGTCGTCTCCAGGGCTGCCAGAGTAATCGCGTCAATCGCCACTATCATTGCACCCGGCCGAATTGCGGCTACTCGTTCGTCCGTTACTCGTGCATAGCGAAACACGAAAAGGAGCACGAGAGCGAGTCTGCGATGGTACCCAGCGCCACCGAGGAACAATCCCAGCAATCTGAGCAGAAGCCCAGAATACAAGTAAAAAATCCTGCCGAGCTGCTCGAGGGAATGGAGGAGAGGAGCGAAATTAAAGACGTCGAAATGAACGCAGCCGATTCTAATAATAAGACTACAGGTGAGCGGCAGAAATACATTCGTCATTTTTTTAGATTTTATTTTCGAGCTTGATGCATGGTGTGCTGTGTTTTCGTAGTATTTTTAGATCTTTTCTTGATTGCGTGTATATAAACGTATTGAAATGAATCAAAATATGGAGGTGTATTTTTAAATCGAATATTGTTTTTTGACCGGACCCTAAAACATAAATACAGGCACTTCTCAACGCACCTTTGACACTTGTGTATGGGATAAGTTAAGAAAGGGACTTTTGGTTTAGTACAAAAAGACAATTTTATTAAACTGATTTCAATTTGAAAATTTTTAAAAGATGTTTTGAATTAATTGCCAATGAATTTTGTCAATCAGTTCGATCCGTCGTAAAAATAGTTTTGCACTTGTAGTTGGATCGAATGCGAATGAAAGTTGAACGATTGCGAGCTTGTGACAATTTAAAAGTTATTTGTTTGGGTAAAATTTCGAGTGTTGAACGTATTGGTTGTTTTTGGTTGTTAGTGGTGAGGGCGGCAGGCACCTATTATCCGGTCAGCGGACCGCCAAGCGAACCCGCACTACCGGGCGCCACACTATCAATGCGAGCTTCCGTGCACCAAGGTTCGTGTCTCAAATCTCTTCTCTGCCTCTCTTTTTCTACAATATTCCTTTTTTTCTGTTTCTATACCTCTCTTTTTCACAAACTTTTTCTTTTGATCTCACTTTTTCCCCTAACTGTGGCTATACTCTATTTATTTACTTCAACCTTCTACACTTTTGAGAAATCATTCGCTTTTTTTTTAATTTTTTATTGATTGAGTAGATACGTGTTTGAATAGTTTTTGATAAATCTTCAAAGTGTGTTATAAATGTTTCATCAGAACTATTTGAACTCGAGAGAATACCTAATAATTTTAATTTATTCTAACATTTATAATCATTACAACCAGAACCACCCTCGCAACTAGTCAAAGCTTTAAAATTCCATTAACAATCAACAATAAAATTTTCCAATTTTCCCTTTTGCCACTCAATTCATAATAGTTTCTTACCAGTTCCATGCAAAAATGTTCTCAATAAATCAAGCAGACATACTAACGTTCGATATCTTGCTCGTATTACAGAACCAAATCAGTCGTCAGGCATGATAATGCCACAATCGAACTCGCCACACATCCTGTACGGACCCGAGCAGAGTTGCAGTCGGCCGTTCTGCAAATTAAAGCGCAAAAATCACTACCACTGCAACGCCTGCAACCAGGCATTCTCCGAGCTCGACCGACTCGTCGCGCACGCGGCCAAACATTCGACAGGTGCAATTCTCAGTCAGCAGCAGCAACAGCAGCAATCCTTCATGCTCGGCGGCTCGATGCACGAGCAGCAGTCGCCGACCAATCATCAGATTAGCCAACAGCAGCACGATTTTCTGCAGCAGCAACACGACTTTATGGCTCAGCGTTTTCAGCTGCCCTCAAAGGAGATAAAACTCGAGCAATCTGGTAACCGATCTAGTCAACAGCAACAACAGAGCGCCTCGGTGAAGAAAGAAGTCAAGAAAGAAATAAAGAAAGAGTATCCAGAGAACAGTGCCGCTACGACCAACAACAGTCACGAAAATGGTCAATCGCAGCAAGCGCAGTCACAGCAGCTACAGCAACAGCAGCAACTGCATCAAGTGGTTCAGCAGCAGCAACAACAGCAGCAAGCCTCGAGCTTCGATCTCAGTCATGGTTTTCATTTCCCGAATCCAGAAATATTCGCTGCGATGAACCAGCAGCTTGCTCTGATGAACCAGGCGCTCCCACCCTTCCTGCAACACGGTGGCATGTACGCGGGAGCACCTGGACTGATGTTCGCACCAGGTCTGCCTCCTGGCAATTTCCTGCAACCCCCAGGTAGAGACGAGAATCCTCTGGCTTCTCTGGCAGCCAACTTGAACCTGAATAAACGCTCGCTCTCGCCGACCGATCCAAATTCGGCCGAGTCAAAGAAGCAGCGACTACATCACTCGATGCGCATGCTCAAGGACGAGCCCGTACCCGAGGGCTACATCAGGTTCAGGTTCAACGAGGACTGCCGCTACCCTCATTGCGGCTATCGCGAGCACCAGACGCACTTCCACTGCATGCGCCAGGATTGCGGATACTCTTTCTGCGACAAGACCCGCTTCGTTCAACACACGGCGCGTCACGAGCGTCTGGACACACTTATGGGCGGCGACTTCCAGCAGTACCGAGCAAATGTGCCCTGCGGTCGACCCCAGTGTGCCTACACGTCCAGCCTCGGCTCGATGCAGAATAAAGCCTCGCACTTCCACTGTCTCAAGTGCAATTTCGTCTGTACGGACACGAACAAGGTGGTGGCTCATCGGCGTCAGCACGCCAAGCTCGACAGCATAGCTGCCGCTGGCTTTCAAAAGTTCACCCCGAGTCAGCCGTGTGGGGCACTGCAGTGCCAGCATTCGGGCAAACAGACCCATTATCACTGCCTACAGTGCCAGTACGCCGTGCTGGGCTTGGCGCAGATGTCCGCGCACAAGTACCGCCACATGGATGCTGCAGCCTAGCACGAGCTAGACCACGCGGTCTACGGACCCAAGCACTGAGACACACATACACACAAGGGGTCGTTCAGTCGATCTTAGTTTCTTAAGACAATGAAAAAATATCGATATATTATTGCGTTACTATACATACGAAAATTAATTACATACATTTACGTATACATCCATAAATATACTTCTAAGTCGTTTCTCGAGAGAGATGTTCAATCGTCAAATATTAATTATAATACCTGTACAGAAATTTTTATCTTTTAAGTTCTAATTTTTAGGAGAGATTTTTAGAGTGGGAATTTACAATTTTCAATTTATATATGTATCATTTTAAGTTATTCACTGTATATTTTACAAAAAAAAACACACAGCAGTGATTATGCATGTAAAACGTCTTTATAAATTATTAAATAAGCGCATGTGGTGTTTCAAAGATTCTTTTCATTTCTTGACTCGTAGCTGTTAGCATGTAAGTGTAATTTGCCACTGTAATTATGGCAATCTGTTTTTGTCTTTACATTATAATAGAGTCAGTTTTGTGGGTGTTTCAGACGGTGAATATGTAATATGAAACAAAATGATTTTAGCTATTCGCGGCGACTGATTATCATAAATATCTAACTGTAAGAACTCTAAAAACAAAATTAATTGTACAACAATAAATAGACGCGAGTGCGGATATATTAATAATTTTGTGCGAGTAATTATTTGTACATAATTTATTTGCGATCATCATTGCAGCAAATTTAGACAAGAATACGGGTTTTCATCTATTGTATAATTGTACGGATACGAGAAAACGAAACGAAAAATTCTTACAAAAAATGTGTTAAAACTTGATCGGGCAAATTGTAAATGCATGTCTGATTAGTTATGTATTACAAGCAGTATTGTGAAAATTAAATTTATTTAAAAGAGAAAAAAAAAGGTGAATTATAAAAAGACTGCCGTAGCAAGAGGCGATAATAATGCTAATGAAACGTACGAAAACGAAACGCATATGTATATACATTATATAGAAAGGGGAAAGAAAGTAATCGTATTTGCGTGAAGTAAAAAAAGAAAAAAATTATAAATGCTTATAAGCGTGATAAATATACGGTGATAGTCGAAAGAAGCGAGAAACTCGTGCAAGTTTTAAGCGCGTGGCGGATAAGAAAATAAAAATCTATAAATAAATGAACATTGTAAATGTAACACATAGAAATGTGACGAAATTAAAGTACGTCGTATTGTGATGCGAAAACGTAAAGAGGTTGTTCTAAAAAGTTTTTTATCGCTTATATATAATGTTTTATGTACATGAATGTGTATAATCTGATGGCGTAGACTACGTAGATTATTAGAAAGCATAAATATTATCCTAATGAAAATTAAAAAATGATATATCAACGACACACGGTTCCAAATATTTAACTATTAGATACAAAAAAAATTATTTTAAGAACTTACAGCTGTGGGAATGTATACGATATACTTTTACTCATATCTTTAAAAAATAGTACGAAAACATTGCTAAACAACGTATTCCGACACTTTTCGAGTAGACGACTGATAGAAAACATAGTACGAAACGATGGGGTGCCTTTTTGAAAAAATTTTCTATAGTAAAAATCAATTTTCGTCTTAGAATCGTGTGCCTTAGTAGAGCAATAGACAAAACTTTGGATTTTACACACATATAACTAGTAAGATTCCCTCGTAACTTGATCGTTCATACCCTACGCTGTTAAAGAAGGCTGCGCAAATATTTGCAAGTTACTACTCGAGTAGTGGATAGATGGCAGTGTCTTTTACTTTTGTCGGAGAGATATACTTTATTCATATTTGCTATTCTACCGGATGATCAGTCCTTTTTGCATGTATTATTTTAAAAGTGTTGATGAAAATTTACAGGTTTATCGTATTGTTCTGGAAGTCTTCATCGAATGATACAATTTATAATATTAATTGACAAAATTAATAGGTAAAATAAAATTTTTGTGTATGAAAAATGCACTAGCATAAACGTATACGTCTTATACGAACACTGTAAATATTGAGACTCTGATATTGTATTCCTGAATGACCTTTTCACTACTATCAATAAAAAATATTTGAAAAATAAAAACCACTATTCTTACGATTTCTTATTTTTTCCATGATGACCTTTGCATGGTTTTTTAACTGTCATTTGGCTAGGTTGGAAAAATGCAAATGTATAATTACAAGTGACGTCACGTATTAAGCGTCACCTTTATTAACGTACTTTCCACGTATCATATTTTTTAAGCCCACTGAATAAGTATTAGTATTTCATTGATCGTCAATGATTTTTTGTCTGTTTTAAATTAAGCTCACCAAGATGTTGATGACATATTCTTACGTGACTTGGCACAAAGATGTATAATTTTTTTCTCATTTCAAACCTGATTTCTTCGTTATTCATTGCACTTTTTTATAAAAATCACTTTTTCCATGAAAATTGCAGGTATAATGTGGTTTTAGAAATACGATGCAGGCGTCGAATACTTTAGGCAGCTCCTATTTCTTCTTACGTTTTATATTTACTTTGAAGATCCGTCTTGTAGACCACGGAAAGTAAAAAATTGTCATATCCTATAGCCACATGAACTTCTTTAATGACCACAAGGTGTATTTATCTATACGATGAGAATCTGCTTATTCATATACTTTCTTTCGTTACGCAATATGAACTTCGCCAAATCTGAAGTAAAAGATATTTAAAAATTATCTTAATAACAGTGATACGTCACGATAACACGAAGTAAACACGAGCACTGTGCATATTATTTTGAGTGATAATTTTTTAACAAAGTTTTCGGAAGAATCGAAGCAAATAGAAAAATAAAAGAAATCGACGACGCGAACGAAGTATCAAAACAAAAGCATGGATTTGATAAAAACGTGTTGCGTTATTCGTTTCCGCATTTTTTTTCTACAATTCTTACTCATGATTATGAAAAATAATGTGGAAAATCAACCGAAAAATTAAATTTTTCCGTGAGCCATCGACTTGACTCGTGGCCATATTGCTAACGAAACTTTTGGAGCAAGATAGAGCGAAGAACGGAATAATATGCGCTTGAGAAAAAAGGATATGAGCCGTAGAAGAGGCAAAAAACAGTCTGGAACATTTCAGGGACACGCTCACGTACAAATGTATTTTCTGATTATTGTGCGTATGTATAACTACCGTTTGACGACCTGCAATAGTATACTATAATGCGCGTACTAGATTGTGGACTCCTGTACTCAGGTTGAGTTTAATAGCTCCACTATATCAGACTCGATTGAGGTTCTGTGCACTTGTAACCCAAAATCCTTTTCCTTGTTTTGTACAAGATGCCTCGGCAAGTATGTCACTCATAAAAATTAATTTTCATGACTACTTTTTGTGAGCTCGTGCATCATTACGTTTAATTGAAAAAAGCCTGATTGTAAATGATAGTTTAAGAGTCAATAGGTCGTAGCCTCTTGTACAGATCCTCCTATATCTATGGATCAAATTACCCAAAGATAATAAACATAAATCACTTCTTACTTTTTTGGGCACATATTACAAACAAAAATGATTCTGACACGGTTTTAAGACTTTCAATAAAAATAATTTCAAAACAAACTATTTGTCATTTCTAATCTTAGGAGAATTTTCAAATAAGTTTTAGATGGTCGATGAACATGCGACGAAAAGTGCAATGAATAATTTTCGTTCAGGCAACGCTCAATTGTCTGTCTTTTCCTGTTTTTTTTTTTTTTTATTTATTTGTAAGGCATATTAAAAGCTATAAACATATAAGAATATGATTCCTTAGAATACTCACTATATCAGGAATTTTTAAATACATTCATATATTTTATTAAAAGTTATACACCTCTGCATTGTTTTGCAAATTAAACTTTAAAGGTGGCTTTATTCTTTCGTTATGATAGGTACTATATTATACGACTACTTACATATTGTTCAAGCTATGAAAGTGTTCAATGGTGCATTTATTGTAGTGAGAGTATTTTTTCTAGTAAATTTGTTTCGAAAATTGGTTTATTTCTAGAAATCATGATTTATCGCGATGAAACTATTGAAAAAAACGACGTCTTGAAATTCTTGAAAATTACTTCTGTGCCTCAATTTTCCATGTTTATAAAAACAATGCAGATCGCCTTTCTATGGCCTTTACAAAATACATACGTGAAATTAATTGGAAGATCATTCATTATTATTAGCCTAATGATTTCATGTATTTCATCAGTAAGTAATACTTCAAATTGCTTTTGATTCTTTAACAAAAAAAATTTATTTGAAGGGCATTAAATTATGGATGATACTCAAAGAGACTGATTTAATTAGTTTTGCTGTAGTTGATAACATGTTTCAATTCATTGTTTGCTCTTCAAGTTTAGCTTGTTACATTTTTGTAATTTTCAACGACGATAAGGTAAACAATTTTAACTAGTGAAATACTTTCAAATGTATAAGTACCAAGTAAATTATTTTATACAAAATTATATCATTTTGGACCTACAATATGAAACGCTACATATTTTTAGATTATTACGTGTATATCAATAATAACAAGAATATTTCAAGGCAATGATACTGTCGGCCAAAAAATATTAATGAAAATAGTCAGAAAAGCAGTAGCTATACATTGGTTTGAAATGGGTAATAATTTTTTCCGAAAAAAATGAAAATGAATCAAACTTGAATATTTTTTCAGCGATGGGTATACCATTTTTTTCGAATTGGTCTATAGCTCCAATAGTTATTCAAATTGTGCTATCAACAGACGATAAACAATTATCAAATGCTCTGCCCTTAAAACTTGCATACTTCTTCGATGAAGATAAATATTTTTTTTATGTTTTTGCATTTCAGATTATTATTGTATTTATTTGTTTCTTAGTATATGCACTTGGCAATTATCTTCAATGGTTACTAGTAGGATTCATAATTGGAGAGATTCAATGTTTGACGTATGTATAAAATCTTAGTGTATATAAGTATACAACTATCTGAAAATTTTGTTGAAAATTTATAAATATCTCAATGTGTACTCTAGATACTACTTGAAAAAGATGGACTTTGAATACGAGCATCGGAATTTCGTTCTTAATTGCACTAAAAGCACTTTCTTTTATAGGAAACTCAGAGAAATAACTCGTCAACATCAAAACTGTATCAAGTTCGTTATTTTTTTATTTAAATGTTTCTTAAAATAGTATTTTTCCATGTCTATTCTCTTCCAATTTTCGGAAAATATTCTAGGCTTTTTGACAAATTTTGTTATATGTCAAGTTCTTTAATTTTTATTGTAATGCTCAGCGTTTCTTTTAGCATCGTTTTAACTGGTACTTGGGTAAATATTGCAACATTACTATGTATAAGATAAAGATGATAGAAAAAACCATTTAACGAAACATCCATTCCACTCATAACTAATTTATGTGGCACTATTTAAAACTGTAAAGATTTAAATAACGACGTTAAAATATTTTCTAAATAATTTAGTTTGCGATGTTATGGGATGAAAATAAAACAGAAGCAGGGAAAGTTTTAATGGCATTTATGGCGAGTCTGCTCGTCAATATTGCCATATGCGTTCCAAGTCAATTATTAAGTAACTCCACTAGTGATTTTTTTCTTGAAAGGTAAAAGAGCTTTTAAATTTTTAACTATTAAATTAATTATGGAAGGTTGCATTCATGAATTCTCAAAATTTGACTTAGTTATTTTCTCAAATGGTACAATTATCCTCCCAAAACTAGGATCTTCTTACTACTATTAATGACAAGATCAATGAAAGACTTCGTTATAACGTGTGGGCCTCTGGTCCCTTTGAATATTGAAACCTGCAGTTTGGTAAACTGAATATTGTCGTATCACCAATTCCGTGGCTAAATTTTAATCAACAAATTTCACTTGACAGATTATCAAACGATCAATGTCGTTCATAGGAGCTTTCAGATCAGTGTTTCTTGCGTTGAAATAAAGGATACGTTTTTAATGTCCACATCTACAATATTGATTAAAATTTCACATTGCTACTTTATAATTATTTACCCATGTTTTCCTTATCACATATTACATACATTTATATAACATGTTTTTTTTTCAAAAACTGTATTTTGCGCCGAATTTTTCAAGTATAAATTTCTATGCCTGTACATATTGAGCTCACCATTGTACTAAATATAGAATTTGCGCATTTATTATTTTCACGCTTTTCTTTTATAGTAGCTTTTAATATAAATAAAGCCTTGTTTATGTTACATGTAAAGCAAGAATTCAACATTTTATCCTCGAGATCCTCGATTCCCAGTCAATTTTGATAGACATATAATTCGAGTACTCAAAAATATTGTTCATTTTTTTTATTTATTATTCATATTGATTTATTCATTTTGATTTATTATTAAAGAATTTCAAGTTAAAAAAATACTCAAGTTTTAGATTTAAATCATGATCGACATTTGTATGAGAAATTATTGACCCCAGTTTGAGACGTACTGCGCAATTAAATGTTCTTATTAGGAGATGTGAGTAAAAACAATTGAAATTAGGAACGTGATCTTACATGAAGGTCATTTATAATTATAACATTATCAAAATTTGCAAAAAACATATCGATACTTGACTTTTTGCTTTTAAAGAACATCTAAACAAGTGATCTAAACAAGCGAATACGTACTTGTGCGAGCAAAGGTATGCAAATGTCTCGCCTTGCAGTGCACGTGCACTGCTGGCTCATACCGGTTCTTTGAGACAGAAATTATCTCTTACAGTACAAGTCTTTCCACCTGACTTTATTTCGTGTATTTTTTTGTTCGAGTGTATCATTCTCAGTAATGGCATCGGAGTACTCACGTGGAAAAACGTGAATCGAGGGTTTTATGTAAGTTGATGGGCCGAGAGATGCGAATATTTTTAGCTGACATCATCGTAGTGACATTATTTTTGGACAAATTGAGGAACTGATTCGGCAGAAAATTTAAAATAGAATGCATACAAATTACCCGTGTATCGTCGTTCAAAATGTAAGACAATACATTCATTCCGGATACA